CATTCATTTGGCTACATTCTTACATAATATAGTTCGTCTGAGTCACCCTTTTTCTTCATTTCTGCTTGATTTATGAAGGTATACAGCTCCTATTGGTTAGAGTTACTTGCTAACTTACTATTATAAATTGGTTTCGAAAAAGATATAATCGATTATGGGGGGGAATACAAGAGGGGAGTGCAGAAAACGAACTATTGCGTGATTAGGAGGCTATTCCCGAAAATTTTCCGTCTCTTAAAAACTTTGCAACTGCATTACTCTCCATGTTTTCATCCACATATGCTTGTGAATACCTCTTCTCGGTTATGAACTTTATTCAGTCTCATAGCAGGAGTAGCCTGAAAGATGACACCAGTAGTTCGTGTATTTCGCTGAAAGTTACAAAATATAAACCCAATGTAAACTCGCTATCAGCGGTAATGTAGCAGCAGAAGTCCCACTGATATAGTATAAGAAAAGTAATCAAATCTATTTGTTGGACTGATATTTTCCCGAATAGTGAATTTGCCTGGACATGTTTAAAAGGATGGTTTATTATTGTGTATCTTTGATTTGAAAGTAGCAAAGCATTGTTTTCAACTTTTGTCAGCACGCAGAAGAATTTTGTCGTTAAATTTAGCCGATTTTGGCATGCGAGCCGAAAAAGGTTGCCCACCCCTGGCAATAGATCAGTGGTGTCAAACTCATGGGTTTTCGAGAGCCGCATTGCATTTTGGAAATTGTACAAAGGGCCGCAAACAGTTTTTGATAATGTATACTTGAAAGATAGTTTTAGTTTGTGACATATATTGTGATGCAACTAAACAGTTGGATAAAGTTTTATTATTTTCTTTAATTTCAATTGCAAATACATATTAATATTTGCATTCCACTATTATTGCAAGTTACTGTATTTATTACAAAAAAAAACATAAAATTCTATGTACAACCATCAAAATCATTTTTGAACAAGCTTTGGATAAGGAGAGAATAATAAATACACTCAATCTAAATATATGGACCTAAAATTAACAAAAATACTACAGTATAAACTCAATATTTTTTTAATTACATTTGTCCTGACGTTTGGCATCTTTTAAGTGTCACAAGCATACTAAGGCCAGGCTGAAATGATTTTATAGTACCAACTCTAACTAACGAGGTCACATAATCATGGGTTAATCTGAATCTTTGCGAATGTTTAATTAATTCCAGTAATGCAAAAAAGTTACTTTTATCATTTCATGTATAGATCAGTAAAAAAACAAATGACAGATTTTTTCGACAAGACATTTCGCGCCACATTGCGTGGCATAGGATTGCTTGCATTATTATCTACATTGATTTTTAGTAACTAAGTCGTTGTATAATTATATCAATATAGAAACACATATAAATTTTCTGTTCGAAGTTGGTCTTTGAATTTGTCATATTGACTGCTGAGCTTATTGTGTTTTTTCATTGTACTGATGGAAATATGACAAATTAACCATGCTAAAACGCTTAAGCAATGTGTTTCAGAATTTTGTGAAATGCAGAAATATTGCAACTCCCATTTTCTTCGAAAATGCCACCTTCTTCATGTACTTTACGTTTAATTTAATCACTAAAGTGTTTTATTCAAGTATTCTTTTGCTAGCTTGATGTGTATTCTTAATTGGGTCAAAATGTGAACAAAAAAATTAATTTTCCAAAACTACTTTCAGTAAATTGTTTTCTGTGTGAATAATCAATTTCACTTTAAGAGGTTTGAAAAATCTATTACATTTAGATAAAAAAAAACTTTCAAAATACTATAACAATTATTGTTAGGCGTTCGAGGGCCGCACTGGAAGTTCTCTGGGGCCGCAATCTTACGCTTTGAATTTAGTTATATTCCGCAAGCCCTGCAGGATGTGGGGGCCATACACAACTTTACCGGAGGGTCAAATGTCTTTACATGCCTCCATAGGTTGTTCTTCTATTGCAAACATTTATGGAGAACTCTAATTATATTTCTTGGAATCACACTGTCACTGCTATGTCGCCAGACTTCTGATATCTCCCCTTCTGCTACAGTTGTGCTGTGAATAAATAATAGGAAATTGAGGTTAGACGAATAGTTGAAAGTTTTGCATTATGTCGGCTTAATTTCTTGATTGATATACTTACTATTTTTACTATTGCCTCTTGTGCTGCAGGAGTCTCACAATGCTTAAACAGGTTAGTCCACAACTTTCACATCTGAGGAAAGAGAGGAGACTTATTAATTTTCGTTAAGAATAAATAAAGCAGTCTATATGATTTAGAATGGAAAAGCTGATAAATCTAATATCCCATGTCTATGTAAAAAATGTTTTACTGAATTTGGTATATAAACCAACTAATAAAAGGGTTTAGTCAGAAAATTACAAGCATTCGTGGCTCCAACTACTTGAGAGATCAGACTATACAATATAGACCGGTATGAGTGAAATGTTAGGTGAACTTGTTAAGCCTTCGATTCAATACGCAAATAAAAGTTAATGAGCAATAGTATGTTACAGCAATGAGTATATACCCTCACTGATTAAAAACATTTAAATGGAGGTGCATGAACTATTTGAAACCATAAGGGGTAAGTTAATATGCAATTTCGGCAAATGGGCAACTACGTACCGTACTGAATTAATAACTTCGTAGTATTTGACAAAAGCTGGCTTTCCCACATGTACTTAACAGTGCGATGCCCGGGTGTGATATACAACAATAGTATTTACCTTACCTTTTTCCAATTTCTTTCTACCTCAACTTTACAAAATATCATTAAAATCGACAACAACTGTCAAAGCAGGCACGAACACCATTCGTGCTATGCCTTGAAAGCAGCACACATCCGCTCGTTTTCGTCTCGTCAAGTATGTTCATTGGAGCGTGCTATCGGATACGATCTTCGGCCAAAAATGGCGGAGTTGCGCATCATGTTGTTTAATCATATTTACGGTTTAATGTCATTGATGTATGCGATGAATCATAATGGTGGTTTGAAACACATACTCCATTTTACAGGCGCCGAATCACTTTTAAAATAGCCCCGAAAATGTTGCAATGGTGAAGTATAGGAAGAATTTTTCGGGGTCAAAGGTCGTGGAAAGGTCCAGACCAAGGCGTATATATAAAGAAGGGAGCTATGCTCATATATATGGAAACGTAGAGTCACATAATTTTGATGACGTCATAGCGAAAAAAAAGTAATAGCCTTCTGGAGAACATTTTTATCTTTAACCCTTGAAAATTTTAAAGCAATTGGTCCAGTATTCGAAGAGAAGAGCAATTTCTTCAAAACGTGTTGACGGAGACGAATAATACCATTAACAACAACATTTTGAAACGATCGTTATGTCCCCTACGTGTTTAATAAGCAAGGTAACCCTCAGACACAGACAATCTTCTTGTGCCTATTGTTCTCGGCAATTTAACACGGCGCCTTATGAGAAGTTCCAACACAAATATTGAAACATACCTATTATTTTCACTGATATTTTAGGTAGAAAAATTTTGAAGGTCGCGTTTTGAAGTAGAATCTTAGACGTACATGCTTATATCCTTTCATGTTGGCCAAATTACATTTATAGTACATCAAATTGTCTTTGAAGACAAGTATACCGGTTCCGAGTTGCTTCCGGAATAAATTGGCCATTCTAATCGTCATAATTAACCATTTGACAATTGCGTACCTTATGACGTCACTTTGCTTCAATGGCCGTTTCTATTTTCTGGTTAACATTCTTCGTCTGTCAAACTCTATATTGCTCTACTGCTCAGCTCCAAGCTGCGCTAAAAGAACAAATGACATTGTGGGATTGTTGCGGAGACATTTTACAGCCTCAAATTGGCGTAACACTATAAAATAGTTTTTTATTTCTAATTGCGTTATATACTTAGATAGCATATATCTTAAAGTTCAAAATCCACCCTTCAGTTTCATTCTAGCCCGTACCGGTACGGTAATGTACAAACAAGGGCTAAATAGCGGAAACAGTGTGCCCAGGTTTCAGAAAGACAGGGTTGTGTAGTACAGTAGTATGATAAGAAATGAGGGGTCTGGTATAGTTTAGTACCGAAAAATTAAGTCATTTCGACGTCACATTGGCGTAATAAGGCCCACCAAAGTATGCGAATGATCGTCCAAAACGCGCAGTGGATCGCCCGAAATCGAGCAAGCTATTTCTCTCGTTTTCCAGTCATAATGATCATGATAGGAGAGAGATTGCCGGCGTTAGCGAGTTCGTTATCGGCGCCGCAGATGCCATTTCGGGCAATCATAATTATACCTTGGCAAGCCCTATGACGTGTTTGTGACGTCGTATTGACGCAATTTTTGGATGGTACCGGTATAGTCAGGTGGGGGTTAGGAATAACATATGCAAAATTCATTTTGATACGCCAACTGGAAGTACTTGCGGTACTAAACTATACTAGACCCGAAATAAGATACGGTTTTATAACTGTACCCACCGTAATTAGGCATTCTTTTATTTCAATCAATTAATAACCAATTGTCTGGATCCGGGGTTCTTAAACTTTTTGAGTTGTCCCCCTTGGCCCTTTTTGCTTTGAAAAAGGGCAGCAGCAGCAGGGTGCATTGTTTTAGGATGGGGCTGTACTGCTGTAAGCGAGTTGGTCTCATAGCTTCATTGCTCAGATTTTCAAAGCATAAAACGCATTGGGGTATAACAATATGCAATAACTGTCGTACCGTATGTATAAAGTCTTACTTATCCTATTTTGTCACACATAGTTTATTCATTGTGACATTGATAGAAAAGGGTCATTGTGCATGCATATAAAAACACGTTATTATATCATTATAAAGCACAAGAAATAAGAATGAGAGTTGCATGGAATTTCAAAATTATTGAATTACGTAAGCAGGGTATTTTTTGGATGATTTCAAATCTTTGGAGGGAATTTTGTCAACGATCCAGATCAAACCATATAAATGTAACCAATTTTTGATATGTCTGGTCATCCTTTTTGAACCAACTACTGTCAGACTGTAGTAACTATATTTATTTAATTTTCAGTATTTAAGTCTTGAGATTTTATTGCATCGTATCGTAGCCAGCTATTCATATTATATATTTATTAGTTTATTATTATGTCGAAAAAGTGGACAAGTATATTTCGTAAAAAAAACAGCAAGACTGACAGTCATGGTACAACTGCGGCAGATGAAGAATTACAATTTCAACCCGTTCCTCCTGAAAGTAAGCAACCAATTCGGTTGTCATCAGTTCAGTCAAATACACAGGTATATTTGGTATAAAATATCTTTTCACATAAATTTAGTCGTAAAATCATGAAAAATAGTTTTTTTGAATATTAAGGGTACAAATATACGTTTATAGTAAAAGTTTTTAAAACTGCTTTTCACCGCTGAGTATTCTCCAATAGCTGAAGAGTATCATCTTCGAAATCTTGTTCTTCTCTTCTATTCATTCGTGGTAATGGCGGAACCAATTGAATGATGCATCATTAATACTGGTACATCATCGACACATTGTGTATCCTCTGTCTCAATTTCTTAATACAATCTGTTAAATATTCTGTAAGATATCATGGATAATTTATTCGGATCTCACTTAATTCTCTCTTCTAGATGCAAGTAGCTCCTGCTCAATCAGGATCATATGGAAGAGACATCTCTGAGAATATCACACAAGACATGCACAAAGACAAGCCATCTCGAGGAAGTAAAAAAGGAAATAGAGATTTGGATAAGAAATTACCAACAAGTATGTACATGTAGAACTGTAGATGTAGATCTTGTAGAACTACTAAATTCTCATCACCCGATCCAAACCTGTATGAAATTATTTGACTATTTTGGTCAGAGGTGCACAACTTTTTTTCAATGGCTGGTCGCATTACGTTTTTGTAACAAAAGCACAGCCACCGGAGAGATCAAGATTTTTTTATGCGTTAAATTCAATTTAAGATTTAGTTTTTCTTGATAAATCTCATTTTCTGAATAAATTTTTAAGTCTTTCTTATTGACGGATAAGTGTGCAAAATCCAGCAAGAATGAGGGTTTGCTTTAACTATTATGGTAGAGCTTAAGCGATAGATGTGCCAACTCAGTACTCACTGTAAGTCAATACTGCAAGCCGAAAAGTGTTACAGTCCTCTCAATAACATGTTTGGAGGGTAATCTGAAGGCGCTTTTTTGGAAAAATTACTGTATATTTTCTGGAAGGCAAACTTGCATAATAAAACCCTTCACAGACCAAACTTAACCCTTTATTTGACAATGTGTTGCGAATCATGATACATTACAAGTATGATTGATTATTATCGGTTATGATAAAGATATCGGTTATAGCGACTAGTTTGCTGATAAATTAGTATTGGTCACAAAAAGTGATATCAGTCGAGCCCTGAACTAAAGATTCATAACAGTCATGCATTGTCACTATCAGCATAAATTCCCTTATTAATCAAATAGCCTACCAATTGAATAATGATAAAATAAGTCAATCTTTTCTACAGAAATTTAGAAGGCATCATGTTTACTGGGTGTACTTACGGTAATTTTTATCAAATAAACAAACCTTTCGTTATTAAAATTTAACTTTTGTGGGGCTAGAGTCGGGAGTCTCTATTATTTTCATGTCAGAGTCGAAATATTTTATAAACCGGGAGTCAGGAATGGTAATTTTTTCCAACTTCACAGTCTTACTGGCCAAGAGTGTATATAACAAAGAGTTACAATCATATGGAAATTCAATGACACCAATTCATAATTATCATATGTAAATTTTAAGACAGGTGATTAATAACTAATGGGGTTGTAGTACGTATTCTTTCCCTGTGCTTAATTTGTTGGTAGAACTCACACCAGCACGGCCACAGATTTCATCTTAGACTGCTGTGTACGTGCACCTCTGAACTAGATAGCTACGGTAGTTCAGGACTTGTGTATTTCTGCTGTTTCCTTCAAATTTGCAGTAGTATCTTTTGTTGTTATTGTAATTATTAATCTTTTGTAATGAAATTACTGTGTACAATAACTATTCAGTTTGGCATAACAATCAGTAATCTCAATAAAAGAAAACTTTCATTGGATATTTCATCGAGTTTCAGATATTTTGAAATGCTTTTACCAAATTGTAAAATGTACATATTTTCATTACAATTTCACCTATATTTCATTTAAATTGGAGTTCGAACCAATATTCAAGGTTTTTATCCTGCTGTTAATTCATTGAACATTTGACAGGTAATAAAGAGAATTTAACAGAAAATTGGATAGCAGATAGATTTCAAAATCTCAACTGTAAATCAGAGGAAGATCTTCATCATAATCAAGGAGGTAATGAAACAAACAAAAACGAAAATATCATTTCTGGAATTCAGCAAAAACCTGGAATATTAGAACCTCCAGCCAAAGATTTCCATTCCCAGGGAAAGGTAATTTATACCAATAATTATTTGTAATGATTATATTCAATGGTTGGTAATATACCATTTAACCAGCTGAAATTTTTTATATACAGTTTCTTATAAAAGATCAATGACACATATTTTAAGCCTATTCTGATTCCTGAGCCATTTGCCAGCGCGACACTATGCTTGATATAAAAGTTGTTTTGTTTGTTTCCATGTCTTCACAATTGCATTTTTGCTATCAGTTTGGTTTCTTGTTGCAAAAAAATCAAATAGCTGTTATTGTGTTGAATATCGATATCTATCAAGATTATAATTTGTAAATTTGTTATTCTAACTTTTTGTACATAAAATACTGGATTGTGACTTGCAAATAAAAACGATTGAAACAGACAGACAATAAAATATTAGTGTAGTGTTTCGGAATAAAATATATGTCTGTTATGATATTTGGTATTCGCAGTAAAGCTTAGTGTTTAGATTTTTTTTTGTGTGGGTATTCAAATAAATTGTTCAGATAGAAAGTTAGAATATATGTAACGTGGAAAATTAACGTTTGAATTACCAAAATACTATATGCAATAAAATACTTTTCACAGACTCAAATTATGCTTGATGTCAGTTTATGCCAGCATGCTGAAAAACATAAAATTCTATAAAATAATCTATTGTATTATGAATATTTCAGTCATTTTCTCAGTATATTTCATAATAATGACAAGCAAAGTCTGAGGTAATTTTTATAGCTATACCAATGAATGTTTCGTCTTCAAGTAAACCAGACATGTAATAAGGTGTCATTACTCGGTCATACAAGGGAGTACTCAATGTATCATGATTCATTCATCAAAATTCCTTAAGTATAGGAGAAAATCTCCTCTATATGTACTTTGTTGTTACAAAGGCTTTTTGCCTATTTAAGAATAATGAATGGCAGACGATAGGTTTTATTTCATACTCAAGTTACTAACAAACACAATAATCTATCAATGGACCATAATTGCTGTACTTGTTAATGTTATAATACGTTATTGACCTATATTTAATCATTCTGGCTTTTTATTGTTGTTATTAACTACCCCAATGAATAGATTTGCTCTTTTGAAGATCTATCTATAGTTCTGGTCAGCTTTTTGTGTTTTGTTTAGGGTTTACACAAATGAAATATTTCTTATTTCAAACTGTAAGTAGGCTAAATAAAATTTCAAACTTTCTAAACTTCATAAATCATAATGCCCAGTATTATTTTCCTGCTTTATTTGCTATCCTATTAAAATCTTAATTATATATCGAATGTAATACATGGAACAGGTTGCCAAGATAATCTATTATTTACACATAGTTCATTACATCATCACAATTATGTGAATGTACAAACATGATTATGTCAATATTTATTTGGAATGCCCATAAACCTATAATTTGTGTTGCCTGCTCCTACCTACTAAATAGGAAGTAATTAAATGTATACAGGAAGTTGTTAGGAAGTGGTTGTAATATTATCTAATTGGCCCTTTGTTTATATAGGTTTAATTTTCGTGTACATTAAAATATATTAGGTGCGTTAGTGGGGATTAGATAATATATGTATATGGAACTATGTTGTACAAAATAATGGGTGAATTATTAATAAATTTTTGAATATAGAATTTACATTTGTTATATGTAGGTTTAGAACTTTATTATTAATAAAATTGTTTTTCTCCTATGGTATGTATAACTCATAGCACAATTTCCTCAATGTTGGTTTTGATCAAAATCTTTCAGAACAGGGGTGAGCAATTATTTATGTGGGTGGGCCAGTTACAGATAATAGACTTTATTACTTGGCCATGGGCTCAAACCTTAATATGAAAAGCTATGAATAAAAAACAGTATATTTACAAAAGCTAGGCTAACATTAATATAATAATAAAAAGCACAATGTAACAATTGGGGTCTTTATGACATGATTTTTATCAAGGTTTTTAACAGAAATTTAATTCATAAAAACTATAGTCCTGATTTTAGCAGACACAAGTAGGTCAGATGAAACACTTCGAATCGCTGGATCTAGCCCGCTGGCCATAATTTGCCTACCCCTGCTTTAGAACAATAGACTATCAAGTGCGAGCCAAAAATAAAAATCCAAATCATAATTGTTCATCGAGCTGTGGTTCAAGTTTGATTGAGCACTCAACTTGTTATCTACAACTTATACTCTTAAGATTTTTAATATTTCCTGGGGCTTCTATTATATTATTATGCCATGTCTCTTTCATTGCCAAGAATGTTATTTATCACTTGCTTTACTCCATGAAAGCACAAAATGCATATCTATTATAAATTAAATATGTACAGCTTATTATAACTTATTATATTTTATTGTGCAGGATGTGTCAATATCTGACGAATATTCTGATCCATTTGATGCGTTACAGCAGAAAGCACTTGCAAGAAAAAATAAAAGTGCAGATGGATATACTGAGCCATATAAAGCACAAAGAATGCATTTGGGTATATTCATGTTATTAATTGAATTGAATATAATGATGATAGGCAGTTACATTTTTTTCTAATTATAATTTAGGGTTTTGTATAGAATTATTTAGATTATAATTGAATTGGTTGACACAGTATTCTAGTGTCTTCTATTCTTATCTTCAAGCTCATTGATTAATAGCAATAATTTTCTAAAAACATTTTTCCCAATATAGACTTGCATGTTGCATCTATTTAAACCTTACATGGATAAAAATGGACCTTGTGCCAACTTTTCTGCCAATATGTAAATTTTGTTTCTCTCTTGACAGAGGTATCTCAGGCGGGGTCAGACGATTTTCAAAACGCCAGGGAAGGTACATTTGAAGACAATTATCATGATCCTTGGGATAAAAAAGCAGGTATGTTTATTGGCATTATTTTACATAAATCATTTTTTTACTTTGCATGTATGTCTGTATGTATGTCTGTTAGATGCACGCGATATCTCACGAAGGCGTGGTTGAATCTGCTCCAAATTTGCATGTGCATTCATCATATCTCGGACCAGAAGCCTATTGATTTTGGATGAATTATGTCGCATAATTAGCGAGTTATTAATTAATTAGTGATGAAGAGATCTGGATTTTTGCAAAGCGAGAGATTTTTGAGACGCGCTGAATGTGTGTGTGCGTGTCCGATGCGCAAGTTTTCCTGCTAGTGAGTCAGAGCGAAGGTAACTTTGATGTCTTTGATGCACGAGTTTCCTTCGAGAAATTTTTCACATTTTTCGGGGTTGCAGAATTCCTTACCAAAATATCGCTAGGCTGTGTTTAAATAGCCGTCGCAACCCGGGGTTGGCGCCGTTGTATTTGATTAAAAATATAGCATTGGTAAATAGGCTATTGGCTGGAAAATAATCAAAACAATCCAGTTCGGATTTGCAGAATTCTTCATAAAAGTATTTCCTCGATTAGTATTTCGACGACGACATGGGTAGTTGGCTATTGTTTCATACATTTTTGATATTGGCTGAAAACTAATCAAAACAATCCAGTTCGGGTTTGCAGAATTTTTCGAATCGAAAATGCAGTTTCTGTTTTGGGGGATCCCCTAACTTTCGATCGATAAGTCTTCGGTCTCTGACCGATATTCTCGTTAAACTTTTGTTTACTTTCTGCAGCGGAAAATATGACTGATTATGAAGATCCATGGGATTCAAACAAAGAGGCTACGCTTCCATTTCCACGTAAAATGTCACATGATAGCCACTTGTCCCATGATAACTTGGAAAGACAGAACCTCCACCGAAAACTTCACAATGGGAAACCACACAATGATTCCTGGAGTTCTGTTGCGTCATCAGCCTCATCAGCATCGCCAAGCACTGTCGCTCGTCGTCTTGTACGTGTTGAGCATCCTCGAACGTCACCAAGATCCTCGCCACATTTCGACAGAAGATTGATATTGCCTCGTGAAGTCACCTCAAATAATTATTCCGAGCCGTGGGGAAGTCAAAGTGCAAAATTCCGTCCAATTGATAAAAGACTTATTAAAGCCGAACCTTCTTTGGAAGAATTACGTCGAATGTCCCCGAGCGGCGGAAGTGCTGGTACTGCAAGTCCACTCAGCAGTGGACGAGGTTCTCCGGATTTAGGTATTTCACATTTACGAACTTCACCATCGACAAACTCAAACAGCAGTCAAGTAGGATTGCCTCCTCACATGATGAATATGAGATCAAAGAGCCGATCACTTGATATGAGAAATCATGCTCAAGTGCTTGTTGCTTTAGCCAATCAAAATTCACATCAGATGTTACCTAAGAGCGCATCCGATGATCATCTCACCACTGTGTCATCATATCAACAACACCGTCCGCTAAATGGACTAGGTGAATATGAGGAACCCTGGGATAAGCCTCCCATATCTCATTCAGCATCGTTTACTAATAATTCTAATAATATATCACATTCTCGGTCCCGGTCATATGAGCTACAAGGCTCACCATTAGCGCGACAACGACCAGCGTACAATCACATGTCAATGAGACCAAGAATGAACCCAATGCCTACTGATGAATCTTTTTATGAACATCCATGGGATAACAAAGCTCCTGCCAATCACTGTGAGTTGAATTTTTGAGATATATTGATTGAAATAGCTCTAAAATTTTATCTCAGGATTTTCAGAATCACTCAAGGTTCTAGAAATTTATCATCATAGGGAATGTGATAATGATAAATTTAGCTCATGTAAAATATTTTCATTAAATAGGCCTATTATGCCAAGAATATTATGAGTGTGTAGTACATAGATATTGGAAAATATTGAACTATGAAACAAATGCAAAAATGTAATTGGATAAGAAAGGCACAGTTTCTGTAAACCTAAAACTTTTAAGGAAATTTCATCATTTTGGTTGAAAACGGTAATTTTAGTTTCTGTATTTCTGCAGAATCGAACCAAGATAATTTTTTAATTTTTAGGTATTGTTCAACTGTGTATTTATCTTGACACCAATAGATAAAAGAGCACAACCATTTAAAATTATGCGAATGTGGTATTATAATAGATTATTAGATTCCCAGAAATAAAAATATCAGCTACTGAGATGATTTCATGATAGTCATAGCTTATGAAACAGCTTTCTAGCTATAAATATATCATTGCAGTTTTTTTAAGAAATAATATTTTTCATACTGACTTGAATTTTGTTTTATATACTTACGAACATTGGCCATTCATTGAAAAGTTTTAATTTTTATATTCCAGTGCAATCAATGCAGAGATTTCAGCAAAGAAAATTGGAACTTCATCCAACAGAAGCAATAAATACTCGTGATTTTGACCCGCTTTTACCACTGGAAAATCAAACGTAAGTCCAGTTTTATCAGCATTCTTTTCACTAGAAGTTTGGGAGAACAGTCCGAAGAGTCATGAACATTCAGTACACCTATTACTATGATTATTAATGCTATCTCCTCTGAATTTTTAGATGGTATCATGGAAGTGTTACCAGAGATGAGGCAGAATTCAGACTTCGTGATAAATTAGAAGGAAGTTTCCTTGTAAGAAAAAGTGAAAGCACAAGAAATAGTTACAGTCTCTCTGTTCAGTAAGTAATATGTTATGTAAACACTGTTACAACTAGAATCAAAATCATGTCATAAAAATAGTTAGCATTAAGCTGAAAGTCTTGGACATCTTTCACTAACTATTTTATGGTATATCACTTCAATTATTGTGGATTCGGTCAAAGATATAATGAATGTTGGATCTTTTCCATTTTGAATGCTTCATATCATGTATGGTTTGGATTTGGTAGTAGCTTCTATTCATCATCTTCTTTTTTTCTAATTTCATAAACATACTTTGATAACTAGACATAAACTGAATGACTGAAAAAGAGTAAACATGAGGCGTGGTATCTAAAGTATATTTATCAGTAAGATTTATGAATTATGAAGTGACTATTTGACAAAACTTCCCATTTCATATCTCTCTTGCAACACGCCCTTCTTCATCATCTTATGACTTCCATTTTCTGCAGATCATCAAAAGGTTGCATCCACATGCTTCTTCGATGTACGAGAGATGATAGCTGGATTCTGGGAGAGTTCAGTTCTCCTTTTCTCAGCCCGCCAGAAATGGTAGCTTATTACACAAGAAATAGATTGAAAATTAGCGATTCCGATTATGTCACTCTTTCTTATCCAATTGCAGATACAATGATGTAAAAACATGATGCAGTTTTTGAGTTTTTATTAGAATTTTTAGCATTGGTTTATGCTTGTCAGATTGTATGAATTATTGTCCCTATTTATTATTCTTATTCAATGTCGTCACGCAGTGTCGTGGCCAGGTATTTGCAATTAGTAGAAATACTGAGAGATTCAAATCTTGTATATTTTTATTTTCTTCACCAATGTATCAATGAATGAATCCTGCACTTTTCTATGAAATAAATCTAAAATATTATTTGAATTTTGTGGTATCCAGCCCAACATGAAATATCTAGTTAAAAACACTGTTAAAATGGCAATCGACTAAAGAACTCACAAACAGTAGTGTGGTTATTTTTTTAATTTGCAATTTACTATTGTGACGGATTTGGAGAAGATCGAGTTGATGTCAAAACAAAATGATATAGTGATTGAAAGCTTGCTATGCACTGTGTGGCGGGCATAATCCAATGATAATACTTTGATGAGATATATTATGTCCATGTAATAATGAATCAATTTTTTGTATTTATAAGTTCCTGCACATTTTAAGTATGAAAGAATTCTGGTTTAAAATGTGTTCCTGTGATTATTTTCAGTTTAGTAGTAATTTGAATAGAAAGTGGAGCCCCACTGGTTCGCTTTGATATAATATATGGATTTTGAATGCGTACAGTGTATTAGGTTCAAAAGAGAATGCAATTTTAAATTTGATGAATTTTATGTTCATTTCATTGATAAAGCATAAGAAATGAAAGATTTTGTTAGGGCTTGCTGTTGTGAATGCAGTATGTGTCCTATCTACTAGGACAGTGGTTCTTAAACTTTTTCGAGCGCGACCCAAATCTGAGTTTTATGAATACTCGCGACCCAATCCTAAATAACGCAAAATGTGTTTTTAATGTTAGTACAGTTTGACTCAAATACAGACAACTATTTATTAGAAACAGTCCATTGACTCAGTGAGATTGATGAAACTGAAATTCCCTTTTCATTATATCTTCAATACACAGCTCCATTTTACTTAACGCAATACGCAAGTTGTCACGGGTATCGAGGCGATTGCGAGCTTAGTTTTGATAACCGTCAGTGCCAAATATCCTCGCTCGCACAAGTGCCTTGTCGCGAATGAAAGCAGAAAAGGCGTCCGCTGTCCGTCGCAAACACGACATCCTAGCTGGCCTTCGGTATCTCTCGCAATATACTACTTTTTACTCATCAAATGTGCACACACTGCTTCGTTCGCGGTAAATGGTGCCTCGAGATGAAGTCACATTTTCTCTAGATATTGAATAATCTAATGTCGAGAAGCGAGCTTTTTCATTGCGTCGTCTATTACAATTTACATTACCAAAAAGACACCCATTTTTGGTTATTTTAATCCACTAAGACGACATTCCACGCGGTCAACACAACGACAAGCGATGTGCATGGTTACCGATACCATAAAAATAATACACGTGACTGGCATATCAGAATTGTGATGTAACAATGAGCTCAAGACAGTTCTTTCCGTGAATGAAATTTTATATTTCATTATTTTTAAATACCAGAGTTTAGAAGCTAAATTGAAACATTGGGAAAGCTGAAAATTCGTCCTTCTCCCCTTAGATTGCCCTTGCATTGACGACCTTGTCGCGACCCATTTTTAAACCTTCCGCGACCCATACTTTAAGAACCACTGTACTAGGACCTGCCAAGACTCCACCCCAATGGACCTTTCCCCGAGCATCGACGTCCTTGTTTACTTCGTGACATTGGCCAATCAGCAAGATGCAAAAAGTGACGTAACAATGCCCCCTTTTTGCATCCGCTCAGACACTTTTCTCACTCAGACAGATTTTCAAGCGTGATTGTAAACATTACCTCGTTTTCGCGATTTTGAACTCTATTCGTTAGTTTTCAGTTGTGTTTTGGGAACTTGAATAAAAATCAAATAATTCAATGATCACGCTGTCTTTCTATGAGTTTTAATTTAATTGCAGTAATAAAAGTTAGTGTAGAAATAGCTGTGATAGACTAGCCTGAAATTCTTTACCGGTACTTTTAAAAAACAGATTGTTGTATGCGATGAATCATAATGATGGTTTGAAGCACATACCCCATTTTACAGGCGCCAACTCGCAAAAGCACTCTTAAAATAGCCCTGGCAATTTTGCAATGGTAGAGTATAGGGAGAATTTTCCGAGGGTCAAAGGTCGGGGAAAGGTCCATACTGATAGTTCCCACTTAGTTTCATTATGGTTGACCTCAAATTTTCTAATCCAAATAACATACGTACCATTGAGCCTAGGCCTTACAGAATTCGTGGAAGACCAAATGCAATCTTTGAGAGATAAAAGAAGACATTGCCTCAATCAAGAAAACCTATAATTTTCAGTCGGATATGTAGCATAAATTATCTGCAAAGCAGAAATTGATGATAGAAAAAATTATAAATTATGTCAAATGAATAAAGGAATTAGAAGATTTAGTTTATAATTTCAAGGAAGATCTGTTTTATGCCACAGAATAAAATGGAGGAACAGGAAAGACGTGGTCTCGACTCAACAATTTAGAGTTTCACGGCCTTGCCCCAACTGTGAATGAGGACAGATCAACTAATAATGGAGATAGGAAAACTGATTCATGTAGATATCAAGTCATCTGACATCTCAGTTACTCACCGCAGTCTTACAACTCGAATATCCACAAACCAATAATCGCCAAGTTCACAGACAGAAAAATCCAAAGCAAATTTTTTAAGAATCAGCACCTCATAAGAACTGCCACCAACAAATCATCTATAGCCAATTTATCGAAAGCTTTTGTTGCGCAGAACTTGACGGAAAAATATAAAGACCTGTTCTATCAAGCTAAAATCCTGAAAAAACGATGCGGGTACCCTTCTTTTGAACTTCCAATGGGCGAGTGGTGGTGAAAAACAAAATCAAAATACCAATATTCGATGAAGAAGATTTGTAAAAAATCAAATAAGTTGAATAATTTTTACAACCGTTATAATTTCCTACCATGGCTAATTTAAACATATCTTTATTGCTGTTAGGCCCCGCTAGTAGTGAATTCCCCTTTAGACAAGTTTTTGTGTATCTTTTTATTTATTTTTTTAATGCCACGCACATCCAATGTTACCCGTCCATTTACCTATATATTTCCGAATAGAATTCATCTTTCATCAAAACGATATTCTCATAAATTGCTTTTAATAATACATTTCAAAATCCGTAATGAATAGACAAAATGTTTACTCGTGTGATATTCAATTTATTATCCGCGCTATGACTAGCAAAATTTGATACGCGATACACCTAAATTTGCCTACGGAATGTAAAAACATACTACTGGTACTCTAACTTTTCAACAAAAGAAGTCTTCTATGTGCCTCGAAGCTCTCATGGTAATTCGCCCGCTGAAAAAATTTTCAAAAGAAGTGAAATATTATGTAGAGAACGAAGCGGTTTTACATGAAGGCGATTTGCGACTGATGCATATATATCTAAAATTACACAATGACATATGTTTTTCTTTCGAATCGTTTATTCTTGTTCAGGATAGGCAATACTCTTTATCATGTTATTTCTCATTGGCAAAGGGGTATTCCTCAAGAGAATGTGATTAGTCCACTGCTGTTCAATATAATGATAAACTATATGCCTACTACCATTCGATCAGATAATGTTGGATTATTTGCAGACGGCATCGCTTTATGGCACACCGGACTCAAAATTGAAAATTTAATCATAATTTAATCAATTATTTTTTCTCTCCGAACTTTTTAGAACTGAAATTGGCAAACTACGACCGGTGGGCCAAATCCGGGGGATATATATACTCATTATCTTGATTGTACGTATGCCATTCACGATATAGCCTGAACAAAAACTCTGATAAAAGAATTAAATTATCTTCAAACCTTCAGAGATGTATTTTTGGGTTACAGGTACAAGGTTGGAAAATCACTTGACCATGTGCTCCGGGACATACTAGCATACGGGTTACAAAATCACGGACAAAATAGCAAAGCAAGCTGCGACAAAAGACCTTGTTGATAAAAGATTTTGACATTCACATATCCAAGCTACTTCGAAAATTCGGCAACTATGCGCTGATGCATAGGACAAAAATTTTATATAGTGACCAAGCAGTACATTATAAGGCATTTTTTCCTCATCTGAAGACAGCATCAAAGCTGCGCTTGAGTACCAAGAAAAATAGGTACAATTTTATTCTCGATTTCCAGCGGGACATTGTCATTTTAGCAGGCACTTCCATAAAATAGAATGTTATAATTATGACATTTGTCATTTTCCACGAACTGTGGAACTTTTCTAATTAACTGTCGTGCGTTCAGAAATGAAAGACAAACACTTAAGCTGGAATGCCGCGATTACGGAATTCATTTGCCATATTATTGATCATTTGGAATAGTGCCTAGACTTTAAGGAAAAACCAAATACGTGCTATAAAGCAAACAAATATAAGAATTTGCATGCGAAAATTCCAAAAGTCTAACGATATTATATATGAAGATGTTCATTTTTTTGTGTAATATCAGATAAAATTTGGCAATGCTTTGTATTAGGAACTTGTATTGATGTTTCAAAATTTACAAAACGGCCTGAAACGTTGTTGAAATTCACGTGACATTGGCGTACATTATGCTCATTTAGGAACTGAAAAAACATCACAGCCACTGAAATCGAATAAATAAAGAAACATTATAACGTGAATATACCACTCAATTTTAACGTCTTTGTCTGTTAGCGAAAAGTGTGTACAGAGTGTGTTCGTCAGAAATCCGCAAGTAGGTTGTGCTGTCCAAGCGTTTACGTTTACGTTTTTGTGCTATCAGTATTACCAGTTATTAGAACAGCAAACTGTTACTCTAATATTCGACACGATATTCGAATATTTTGCCCAGTTTTATTCTAAACTTGCTCTATGTATTTTGTAAATTATAACGTAAATCAGAACTTGGCTGGTGTTCAAGTTTAGTAAAAACGTTTGCGGCCCGCAATGAACTTCCTCGAGTGAAAGTGGCCCGCGACACTAAAAAGGTTGGGCAGGCTAGATGTAAAAGGCAGTGGTTTTCAACCGAGCAGCTTTGAATTATTGCAACAATTAACGTTTGGGTTGACTAAATTATGCCAGCAACGCTTCTTTTTATCTCTCATACTGTATGTATTCGCTGGACGAATCTATAGTGCTACCATTCCTTGTTTTTGGAGATCGCTACTGCCTACCTAAAACGAAGCGAGACCGGCATGTTTTCGCCCGTTTCACGCCCACAATGCATTGAAAAACAGCAACGAAGGGAGCGTTCGACGGGAATGGTCCACGCGTGGCGAGATGATATCTTGATACATCATCAGATGATACTATTGCTATCTGTTATATGTGTTAACTGATAGGCATAATCTTAAGTTTTACATCTCATTTAACAGTAAGTTTTTGAATAAATATTTAAGCCTGTCGAAGCGAAAGCCTTTCAGTTCTGACCGTAGACGCCTCAAATTCTTTCGCAATTTTGCATGCAATTAATACGTTGTTACTGCTCAAACTTAATATATATATATGTTAAAACTTTGCACGACAGTCAAAAAAAGAATATAGTACAATAAAAGACTTTCATAGCACGTTTCTTGTTACGTTGATCTCCGCCCCAAAATGGGGGTTTGTTGGTGTTGGGCGGCCGGATTAAAAAACACAAAAATGGTAAACTGTCAGTAAAAGGTTGAGAACCACTGCTCTAATGAAAGGGGCACTGAAAACAAGGTTGTCATTGCCCTCAGGATGAGTCCATGGGACATTGCCGTTTAAACAGGCACCTTCATAAAATAGAATGTTATAATAAGGACATCTGTCATTTTGTTATTTTCCACAAACGGTGGAATTTTTTCTGTCGTGCGTACAGCAATGGCAGACAAAAACCTAAGCTGATATGACGCAATTACGGAATTTGTTTTCCATATTATTGATCATATGGAATAGGCTAGTGCCTATTCTTTTAGAAAAAACCAAAGGCTAGTTATAGAGCAAACAAATATATATAAAGATTTTCATGCGAAAATGAATTCCAAAAGTCTAATTCTAACGATATTATAAGGATGGTAATTTTTTGTTCAATTTTAGATAAATTTTGGCAATTCTTTGTATCGCTTTTTAATGAATGCTTGTCAACAATATATATAGAAATTCATCGTGTCATTTTTCTCTCATTTTTCAATATACCATACCATACAAAAAAATTATTTGTGCCCAGGCTAAGCCAAAGCTAAGTTTCCCATTGGTGCATGCGTGTTTGAATGACGAAGTTGGATGTAATTGATTGCATTACAATAGAATATAACAATAACGCTTTGAACAGATGGCATCATATGCGGAGAAGTCGGTCATGTCATCTGTCGTTTACAGCAGTAACTGCATCAAGAATTGTAGAACAAACATGGTGGCAAATCTGACAACAATTTTCATTGTCATATGTTTCACGGCCAACGTTTGCTTTGGACAGCTTTGTGGACAAAATGTGAAGCACGAACAACTGGATGTTGCGAAAGTGAGTTTTCGCCAAATTTATAATGTTTTTACGCCTTTCATTCGGCGAGTTCTTGTTATATTTAAAAAAGTTTGTGTTATTTAAATGAAGTATCGGAACAAAAAAAAATGATAATTGATCACTGAAACATTAATATAAAACAATTTGAGGCCAGTAAAGTGATGCACAGATGGTATGATGCCATGGACATTGTTCCTGCCAGAATACCGGGAATTGTCTTTTGTTATGATGTTGGAAATATTACAGAAGTAGACGATGGCTTCCTACTCACAAGGACACTTCAAGTCAAAGGGTAAGAATATATGTGAATCGTCAGACAAGTAAGCGCCGCATTGCATTTGAGCAAGATTAAACATATATATATGCAATAACAAAATCCAAGCCCGTCTGTTTTGTGGTATTTCTTGCCACCAGGCTGTTACTCTGATAGCGTAAGCTTGAAGGGCCCTGTGTCCACTGGTATATATTAACATTGTCATGGCTTTTTGGGTTGCCTATTAGACTTGCCCAAATATACTTTCATAAATAGGATCGACAACATTTTAGGTGTATAATCACGTCATTTTAAAAATATTTACAAATACTTTGTACTGATTTCTGGTTTTTAAAAACATATATTTGATAACGATCTAATATTTGTCGCTTTGACACACCTTGCGGCAGAAATAGGCAAGAAGAGAGACTGCTTGAAGATTGATACAAATATGAAAGATATTTGTTAGTAGAGATCGAAATATAAAAGATTCATCTTTTTCTGATATAAAATCGCAATTTTGAAATATAATTTGAAGCAATTTGATTTCACCTATACCTACAAATGGTTCCAGAAAAATGATACGATTGACGTTCCGTTTTAAGATCCGATTTTTCCCATTTTAAACTCTTGGAATTTACGCTTGGAATGAGGTAAAGCGCAATACTTGGGATACATGAAAAAAGTTGCATAGTTTCAATAGTTGCATGAATCGGCCACATTATTCAAATGCTAAATTTAAATTCCTTCTGTAGCCGACCAGCTGAAGAGTCAATAGATAATTACGTTCACTTTATACACAACGGAGATGGAACATATACATCAAATCAGGAACTGGGTAAGTTACAACTCTTTTCTTTAATATGCGTGGACGAGTAGTCGTACAGAGCGTTTAAATTAACATCTGGATTTAGAATTTTCACAAATCACTAATTAATTTAATTCTATGATTAAACTTGTTCTCAGTTCCTGCAATGGCGAAAAAGGCTAGAGAATTATTTAAGCCTTTTCTTGACGAAATCGGCCTGCAGAAAGAAGAAGCAAGTAAGTGGTGTAATAAAAGCAAAACATGCATTCGAATATTTTTAATTAGAGCAAATCATTTGTCAGATGCAATTATATCATGAATAAATATTCCATAATGGCGAAGAGTAAACTTCTACAGGAGAAACAAATTTCAAAGAAATATAAAAATTGTTAATCTTGCAAAGATAATTAAATATATTTGGTACACATATAGTCTCTAATAACTCGCGATACGGTAACTGTAGACTTGATAATCCGAAACTGTACGAGGATGGTTTTAATACTGATTTTTAGGGATATATAGAATGATGAGTGGAAACTTTTTCTTCCTTACCGACTACGATGAATACTTCATCATAGCAAAATGTGCTTCTGGGTCAAGTGAGTTAATTTTTTTTTATATATAAAGCCTTTGCTTCCACTCCGTAATACAACAAACAAAGCAATCTTATGTGTAACAAGAAACAAGCATAGCGTTTGCGTGGCCATATTCATAATTTAGATCTGGTTTCTCAAATTGAACATACTCGACAAATTTTTCAAGCAACACATCACACTCATCTCATCTACCCCACGAATAGGCAAATACAAATTTTTTAAGCGCAATATCAAATGTGGCCGTAAACCTCATACAGTTTAAGATTGCAACATTTATGGAACCTCAATGGACTCTGTTGCACAATGAATTCGGATGCTATTATGCTTTCTTTACGGGGACACCGTCGATCCTATCGCGACTTATATTTCATATTTATTATTTTCGTGGAGGATATGGTGTTGAATTTCGATCTCAAAATTAGCCCATAGGTACACACGCGTAAAGAAGATGCAAACTTTTGATTTAGATATTTTGAATGTTTACTATTGACGTATATTACGATTTTAATACATCTCATTTTTATCCTTCCCTATAACATTGTTGTTAATATACCTGTGCAATGAAAAACGCATTTAACTTCATTCAGCTCTGCTTGCCGCCATCAAACACAAGAGAAAGCAACCTACTGGGAACGACGTTGTGAACATATGGAATGTATTTTCCAAGTATGGAGAAGCTCCCAGCCCGCACTGGGAAGGTTTTTGCACCAGAAGAGGGCTCACAAAACATGAAATCGGAGTAAATTAACTCTAAAATAAGGATATAGAAATTCCAGTCAATGATATCTAGTTGACGAACTCGAACTTTTCTTTTTTACTTTTACAATATATTCCGGGAGAATAATTAATTTTGTCACGAAATAATTGATTGTAACATAATTGAAAAACGGAATATAATTGCAAATCACCCATCAAGTATAGACCATATGTTGCAAAACGTAACATCTATTCGTTTAAGCCAGGGGTCATCGAACTACGGCCCGCGGGCCAGATCCGGCCCGTGTCGTCCTTTCATCTGGCCCGCAATAACACGAAAAAATGGCAAATTTTTTTCCAAGAGATGTTTCCCCGAGCATCGACTTCCTCGTTCATTTCGTAAGGTTGTCAATCAGTAAGATGCAAAAAGTGACTTAACAATAGACCCATTCGTATCCGCTCAGACACTTTTGTCACTCGGACATATTTTCGGTCGTGGTTTCAATTAGTAGGCCTACCTCGTTTTCGCGATTTTGAATGCTATTCGTTAGTTTTTGGTCGTGATTCCGGAATTTGAGTATGAATCAAATAATTCAATCATCATTATGCCGTCTTAAGAGTTGTAGTTTAATTGCAGTAATCAAAAATTGTCTTGAAATGACTGTGATAAAATAGGATAAAATTCACTACCCGTACGCAACGTTTTCTGCGAAGGATGTCCTGGTACACTTGTGGCGCGTGCCTTCAGCGAAACTGTTACTGTGTACGTTTCTCGTGCTAGAATGAACGTCGAACTTGCATTTTGCGCTAATAGTACAAGTCACGTTAACTTTTGTACTGCTAAATGCGGATTTTCATGACAGCAATTGTTTTGCTAACACCTAACCTCAAGATAGTTGTCTAGAAATCTATATATATTTGTTTTGTTATGATGTTCTTGATCTATATTCTGCGATATAGAATTTAATATTCAAGACTTTAGAAATGTAGAATTTTTATTGTTGAATAAAATGAATGGATTTCCCAACCTTTGGGAATTTATTGTATTACATTGACAAAAATAATTGTTCGGCCCGCTTCAGCCCAGTTTGAGTCATACCTGGCCCGCGGTCAAAAAAGTTTGATTAGCCCTGGTAAGCTTTCTAAACTTTGGGTACTTGGGTTATCTTTGAGCTAGGTTTTTCCAGATAATTCATGATGAATTAGAGAAGAATGTGCAATTTTCCACTACATCACGAAGCCAATCATTTCATCAAACTGCATAATTGTTTCACTAGCGAATTTTAACTACGTCCCTCTTTGATAAATATGGCGATTTAGAGAATCATGTCAATGATAAATAATCCCTTCAAAATTTTACTTCAAAGCTTAGTGATAAGTCAAGCAATGCGGTCATTTGTGGCTATCATTAAATTTAGAAACCTTCGAATATTACCTATCTTTTCGAATTTGATTTTAATAATATCCAAACTATCTTGAAAAATTATGATTCAAATGAGCTTAGTAACAAGTCAAGCAATGCGGTCATTTATGGCTATCATTAAATTTAGAAAGCCTTCGAATATTACCTATCTTTTCGATTTTCAATTTAATAATATCCAAACTATCTTTAAAAATTTATGATTCAAATGAATCTAAAAAAGCATAGGATGGTATTTCTATGAAATTGAGTCTGTTCTGTTACTTTTGAGTGATCGCGTTATGGAATTTAGGAATATCTCGGAGCTAAAGTCTCACAGCTCACATTGAGATATTTCATATATATAACTATTTGCAATTTTGTAGTAAATTTTCGAGTAGGGTAACTGTAATGTTTTTCACATTTTTGGGTGGAGATAATAATCCAATTTTTTTGTGACAGCAAATGGATTCGTCTTCACGTTTTGTTACGTTTTAACTGAGTATAAAATAACAATCAAAAAACTTTACATGATTATAATTTATAGAAATTCTGATGCTTGATTTTATGATCGTTCATTTATTAAGTTTATATTAATAAATAAAATTTGATGTGAAATGAACATGGCCTATATAAATTTCAGCTACATATCTTAATAAAAGCAAAACAGGCGTAGTGTAAAATAGAACTTTAATTAAATAATTCAAATTCTCTGTATAACAACAACGACAACAAGACTGAAAACGCCAATTTGAAAAGAATCACAAATGTACTTGGTGTTCAATAAGTGATCGAAGATGTTCAGGTTCACTGCAGAGGGCCAGTCTGAAAGGTCATCAGGAGTTATCAGAGACATATGACGTCATTTTCAAATGCGAATTTATCTGAATACTTGTACGTCGGTTTGTTTGAGCAAAGCTGTTGACATCATTTTCAATATATACAGCTAAAATTACGTATACAGCTAACCATTATGGATATATAGCCAATTAAATATATATAGATAAGTTTATTTCGACATCATAATCAGAATAAAAGGCAATAACATAATATGATTGATAAAAACAAATAAATGAAAACTGATTATGAAATCAGGAAACAAAGCCTTGAATAAGGTTTAAAACGTCCAGAATATAAGATGGAAGAAGGTATTGCCAAAAAGAAATGATACGTGTTCACTCACCTAAAATTATGGAATCGATTCATACACACTCACACACAACCACAAGTTAGAGAAAAGCTTTAGATAAATTATATGGTAAAATATAAATACACACACAAAAAAAATTAGAATAACGGATAAGAATTATATTAAAAATGAGAATTGTTTACCACACCCTTTTAACAATTTTATAAAATTTTCCAAACAAGAGTGAACAGTATTTAATATAAAGACGAAAAAGATTTCGCCAAGCTGGTTATAATTGGGGTCAAATGCCAAATTGCCCAACCAAAGTTGAGTACATGAAGAGGTGGCTAAACCGATTCATTCACCAATGAAATGCCAAAATATTGCCTAATTGTAGTCCAGATTACATCAATTATTAAATGCTATCGGTAACAGTTTGAGTGAAATATTATTAAATTAGGGTATTGATACTGAGGTAGGTATTGGATTATATTGGTTATAAAAGGTGTGAGCAAGGACAAAGGATTTGAGGATGTTTTTTTTTCACAGGATCCCTTCAGAATTAACATGGAAGATTCATCATAGTCAATCGATGATTGTGATGTAGCTTGAAACACTAGAAAACAATCTGCGAGTAGGTGTTTAAATGAATGCGTATAAAGAAACATGCTGACCTAATATTTATTTAGAGATGTATGAAATTGTTAAATTGATTTTACGGGGTATTCATCATTAAATTCTTATCACTTTATTTTGATGGTTGGAGGATCCAAAAGCAAATTCTGTTAGGGACACAAGAACTTATCACACGATGCAACAAACTCAAATATGGTCATATCACACTATCTACACTTTGGCCAACAGGTTTACTCCACAGCCCAACCTTACCCAAACATAAAGTACATGCTTACTCACTAAAAAGGTAGAAATCTACATCGAGTTAAAATCTTCAACAGAAAATTTAAAGGGAAGAATATAATATAGCTCGACTGCTCCTCCAGTTACAATATTTGGATATCTTGCAATCCTCATCCGGATATATCATTACTCACCCAGAAAACAAAAGCCATACATGCTGTGTAATAAGAATGATCCCACACCAAAAAAGCAGCATGACCGTTGACCATGCAGTTGTCAGAATGTGAACAGCTATTCATAGAATGTACCAGATCAAGTATGTTGGTTACCATATGATAAAACAAACAATGAAACAACAGATATATATATCTTGATAACGTACATTAATAAATTACCTGCGTGTGCATTTGGCATTAGCTGTAATCAATTCATATTTTGGCTTTATATATATATCGTATAGCACCATTTTACTTCAAAATCATGATTCACCAATGGGGCTGCATTTTTATTTTATACCACCAACTACAAAATCCATCTCATATCCAAAACCGTTTGTGGTGCTCTTGACACAGACGCAAACCAGCAAAAAATTGCTACAAAAAGTTAGGTGAAACACTAAGATTAACCGATGCTCCCGAAGTAGGCCTATATATAATTTAGTATATATAATAATGAGATTTTGGCAATACACTCATTTATTTCTTGTAATATTAAAGCATGGACGGCGCTCCGGAAGTATTCGTACCAAGATGGCGCACAACCTGAACATAGTATGTGGGGTTGGGGTTCAGCAGGTTGTGCGTCATCTTGGTACGAATACTACCGGAGCGCCGTCCATGCTTCAATTTTACAAAAAATGAATGAGTGTATTTTCAAAATCTTAGCTAATGTGCGCACTGTTTAAATATTTATTAATTCTGAAAAAGCCCGGGGATATTGAATGGAAATCTTGATTCGAAATTCCATAACCCGTCCCGACATCCCAATCTTAACTTTTAGCTAAATTACTATATAGAATAAATATACAAATCCTAAATCTAATGAGCATAGAATGTAATACCATGCTATACCATAATCCGAACAGTTCTTATCTGAACGTTGAAAGTAAATCGAATATAATAATCAGTTGATTTTTAAACAGTTGCGTGCACTATTTATTTTGCTCGTTCAGGAAGTCATCACCATTAGGCATTGTCTATTGTTACGTAACATATACAGGGAATAGGGATTATAGGAAAACAAGAAATTTGACTTTTTTGGGAAGGGTTTGCATTATTAAGTCTCTCATTCTACCCCAGATATTATACCATGCTGCTATTTTACTCATTAATGTTCCTGAAAGTTTCTTAACTGAATTGAATAAAACTATATATGTATTTGTATGTGGTTCAACCTGGGAGTGGATCAAAAGGAATACATTGATTGGCCCCCAAAAAAAGGAGGTATTAATATGATGGATATAAATGTAACACATTTTTTTTTCGCGCGGCGCTAAATTATCGGGGGGCCAACGACGAACTTACATGAAATAAATGGTGCTTGTGAATAAAACTCAATTTAGTGATCGTTAATGTTTACTCTATGCATTTTAAAGTTTGTAAAGCATGTAGGCCTAAGGTGTAAAGGCGAAAGGTCAACTCATCTTCCCCATCTCTGCCTGATTTTTAACGTTCACTAAATTCATTTCAGCAGATGAATAAAACATAAATCACGAAATTGCAGTAATTATTTTTTTTATTTATTAATATATAAAACACAGTTGATCGGTACATCTACAACATTATAAATCACTAATCATAGAAAACACACAATCATAAATAATCATGTAAGATATTATTGTGCATACATGTATATTCATATAAAAACAATCATTGATACATATATCTTGAAATTTTTCATTTTTGATCATGTTTCTTTGTTTTGCCATTTTTATATGCAATGAATCGTTCAATTTACCTTACTTCATACAGATATGTGGTAAAAACATTGAACAGTGGTTTCCTCTTCTATATCTTACAACGATATAGATAAACCGGGCAGCAAAAAGTATATAATTACACAATTTGTTATAAAAATTACAAACATATCACAACAAACAATCTCTTTTGGAAAAGTTAAAATTAATCCCTGTTTTTGAATATATCCACATGTTCAGAGATTCCCAAAACTGTTGAACAACTATAAAATCATAGAAAAAGTGGCTATTAGTTCCAACATTAGAATGGCAGAAATCACATAACTTAGATGAAACAAGTTTGAATTTATACAATCTATCGTTTAGTACAATGGCACCTTGGAACATCTTCACATGAAAAGATCGCAATTTAGTTTCAGTAGTGCAATAAAAGATATTCATATACAATTTGTTCCAATTAAAATCACTCTCTAAAAAAATCTGCCGATCTGCCCATTTTTTTTTGATTTATCAGAGGATAGAGCGGACTTGCACGGGTCACGTGCCTCTGTTTACTGGACGGCAAAAAAACAAAAACGTCCAGCTCGATTCTGTCATTTGCAAGTCGGATTATACGTTTCCGTTTTGCTTGGCTGTTGAAAATGGTTATTTAGTATTGTGCCGTTGGCTGGGCGTATAGTATAGACAACGAAATGGATCTTCAGTTATATTCCACTGTTTTCAAAAGATCCGTAACGTCGCGCAATGTAGATATTATCTATTGACAGGACTGCTTGGTGTCAAGTCCAGAAGTCATCTTGCTTGTGTTTCACTGTTTGCGGACAGCACTTCGTTGATGGTGAGTGATAATGTGCCGTTATCAATTTCCTTAAATATTCATAAGCTCTCTCATTTCAATGGAAATCAGATGTAGAGGCAGTCACTTTTCTGTGAGCATAAACATGTGTGGCATAGATGTGAGTGAGCGCTACCATTGAAATGTAAAACAATAAAGTTAATTTCTTGAGATAACGAGATAAGGTAATTTGTGTAACTATCATTGAACGTTTGTGCCATCCATCTTGCTATTAAACAATTTCTCATCTCACTTGACGCATTTCTGATGACAAGAATAAATAACCGATGAACAAATTGAAATTAACCGAAGAACAATGCCAAATTTGATACTATTTGTAATAAATATTGCTCATATGTTGAATGGTGCTACGGCCTATACCCTGCAATCGTTTAGCCAGTCTCGAAGTAAAACGGCCTAGCCTTATCCAAAATCATGCCTTATGTTATAGAATATTCATATTACTGCATTGACCGCTCTGTGATAATTTTAACCATTTTTATCTTATTCAATCCATTACTAGTCGAACTTCAGTACTAAACGTTAAAAAATAAAAAATAATCTCCACTTCGAAACATTTTATTTTATTTTTTTAACTAAATGCAATTCACGAAGTTGGTGTTTAGTTAGTAAAATTTCCTGTGGTTTGTTTTTGGAGCAACCTGAACATAGTATGTGTACCAGGTTAGGGTTCAGGTTGTGTGCCATCTTAGCGCACATACTTCGGGAGGCGGGAGCGCCTTGTTTTTAAATTGAAATGATTTGCCACCACCACTAATCTACGAGTAGTGCAAGAGGGATAAGTGACAAAACATACAAAATAAAATTTAAACCTATGAGCTCGAACTGAAAAAAAAAAAAATACATGAATGAACAAAATATGCTTGTGTAAAAATAGGAATGACCAGGAACTCTATAAGAATTGGTTGACGTCTCACATCTTGCCAGTGGTCAAACATCTAGTTTAAGAACTATGAAGAGGTTTATCATTCCAACAGCGATGACAGCAGATGGAAGGCACACAATACTGAAACAGTGCTACTTTGGTATGCGGTTGTGTGATCTTTGGTATGCGATCTCAGCGGTTGTTTTATTTAGGTTTAATTATTCTAGCTCAAACCGCAGGCTTCGAATTAGAAACGAAAACAGAGGCTGTACTACTTCTATGTCCAACTGCGTGGTACGACGGCTTATATTTTTTACAGCGCATTATTTGTTAATGTTCTGTAGAGTGTGGATCACATCCCGTCCAAGGCTCTGAGGTGAATGCGAGACCCCATACCAAATTTTTAACGCTGCATTGGCGTACAATTTCTCTTGAGTTGGATGTAGATGAGTGTTATAGGTTAAAATTCAATTTCATTGCAATGTCCGAAATGCAAGTAAGGAATATTAATATTGGCAAGGGTGGTCTCAGTTTGACTTTCACTGGAGAAATGATCACAAACGAAGGGGAATTTACATTATTATTATATGTCATATCTCAGTGTCTGCTTCCAATGACACCAATAGCTTTCACTTATCTACACTGTTGAAAAATGTTCAGATGCAACAGCAAATGGTTTGGATTCAATTTTTTGCGTGCTTGATGCAAACCGGCATTCTAGGGAATGTATCCGTTAGACAGAACAGAATTTAAAGACAATATATATTATAATAGAAAGTGGAACAATTTCAGATTTCCATATTTAGTACAAACGAATATAGGCTTGACGATATAATGGTAAAATACTGTATTCTAGGCCAGTGTCATACTTGAGAATCTATATTTTTATCAGCAGTAAATTTTAGTCACGCACGTTGAAATGCAAACATGATATAAATGTTTTGATAATTACGTTGGGAATTGTGCTGTCGAATGACGCATCTGATCGCATAATGACGTTTCGAACAGGATTATATCAATGGATTACATGTTTAACGAACGAGATGTCTAGGAGGAATTCATCCAGTGAAAAACGTATAAAAAAAAAACAAGAATAGCGGTTTTCGAATAGCAGTAAATACCTCATATGACATATGAAAATTCAATTTGTATTTAAACACATCAACATTATGGTACTGTGTTGTGCTTTGTATCATTTAACATAGCCGAACCAAGTTTTAACCAGTTATCTCAGCTCATATTCCTGCTGGTATTGACATCGGTACGGCATATTCTTAATTGGAATTGGATATGTTTGTGTTATAGTGAATCCCCGAGTGACAGATGGTTGGTTAAAATATTTATTGCTGGACAGAACGAAGTATCAATGTTTAAAAAATTATTGAAAAAATGAGAAAACGTCATAATAACCCGATATGGAAAATTCTAGGTCAGAAACAAAACGCTTTCTTTAATTTGGAAGAAAAACTGCATGGAGAGAATTCAGAAATATGGCTGCACAGGTAAATGCCCTAATTCTTCCATACCTCGTGCTTCCAACTTTTCACTGTACAAATTTTCCAATCTCATTTTTCAATTTTAAAGTTCCAACACCCATTTCACGTTTACATTTATTGAATACCAAGTGGACGTAACCGACGTATGGGTCGTTTTGTTATTGTGTTCTCGTTCATTTCTTTGCTAGTATTCTCCTTGTTGTTATGAAAAACTCACTTTTCTATTTAACTTCTGGGTGAATTGCTTTTTAATTTTCAGTGGTTAAACATTGCTGTTGTCGCTAGATAGTTCAATCGCGCATCGTATGCACATTGCCTCAAATAACCGATAAGGCCTTACTTCGTTTCCCAAACAGCATTGGTTTGGTTCATTGCTTGCTGAGAAAGGTGATTGTTTCCTAAGAACAGCAATAGAAACCACTAACAAAGAAGAAAATATTAATTTGGTAAATTGATCCATTGGTCTACGTTGGATCAAATAATGCGTTAAGTCCCTTCTAGGAAGTGTGCAATTCAAACCCTCAATTGCACCTCGCAATACTCGTGGGAGTGAGATATGCATCGTTTCAATCCTATTGATTTCGTATTTCACGCAATTAAAAAAATAGATATAACGTTATACAATTTACTTATCAGTGATTTCATGAAGTCCTTATGAAGAGGGGGCCTCATAAATGCCGTAGCCAAGTGCCTCTCATTGTGTAAATCGATTACATTTACACAGATTACAATTCTAGCCTTTGTTCGGCAGGTACAGCCACTGCTGGATTCACAACTTATTCGGTTATTTGTTTGCATCCATGATCGACAAATTTAGGAGATATAATTTCAATATCGACAAGGCAGTAATAACCTTATTTTGCGAATTAATAGCATGTGATGAGTTTTCGTATACTTTAATTTTATATCTGCCAAACGAAGCTGTCAAAAATCCTGCTCTCAAAATCTACAAAATATGTGAATATTGACTATTTTTGTTTTTGAATCTGAAGAGAAAATAACTTTTTATTGCATGATCACCTTTATCCTGACTAAAAACTGGATACCTAAGAAAAAATTAGACACTTCTTCAGCATGCAATGCATTATATTCCTGGGTATACAAACCTAGCCCCTGAATAAACAAATAAAATTGATCAGAAATAATATATAGAATTATATCTATCGAGATGTCTGTGAAACATTATAATATTAGATATAAATTATTGAAATTTTGCTATTAAAATGTGCGTATACTTAAATCAAAGATCTATTTACGGTTAAAAAAAATCAAGCAAAAAATACCATTTAAATGTTATAAGAATTGTAACGAAAGTGATGGGAACGTGTGCCCTTCAATTAATATAAAAAAAAAACGGCGGAACGGAACGAAAAATTTGAAAATAATAAAAGTCATAGTTTTCTAATATCTTCTTCTATCTTTATAGCTGATAATTTGTTTTTGAATAAATTCTTTAGAATCCGGAGAAACGGATTTTTTCATCGGAACACTTTAACAAAACGATCCATGCATCTTCCTGTGTCCATACCTGAACAATTGATTAAATGACAATTCTTTCATGCATTCTAGGCGTGAGCATATGCCGGCTTGTGGTTGATGATGATCATTAGTTATTACATCACTCGGAAAAGGTTATCGAGTGTATATACCGAAAGCTCGAAAAACTTTTTGTCAGAATACCATGCGAAAAGAATTGGTTCCAGCTGTTACCGATGTTTTCCTCATTCTGGCAGCCTATACCGACTGCAGTCAAAAGTTAGTCATGGTCTTATTTTTTTTTTTCAACCATTTCACTTCAAGGACACGCAGTAGTCTTGAAGTTTATTTCTTTTTTATTTCGTTTTTCTTCAGTTTTATATAAATTTAGTCTGCTTTCGTAAACCATCATTCATGGAAGTCCTATTTCCTGCTCGGTATCTTTACTGACAAGACAATGGAAGTCAGATACTTTGTTTTCTGTTATTGTACACGAAGCATTCAGTCATTCAGTATAGCATGGTAGACATGAGTCAATTTTAGGTTCGTGCGAGTCGTTATCATCACGCGATAATATGTTTGTTTGAGCAGAATTTATATCTCACAAGTAAACGTTTCTTTTAGGTCCCGATACGGAAGCAAATGTTTCTGATCACTCCAACACATTCTCCGGTATTATGTTTGAAATTTTGCAAACAACAAGTCCCTTTACTGGAGTGAAGTGATAATATGCGTTATAAAAAATTTGTAGTTACTTCAATTTCTATTCGCTAATAAAATGTTTATTTACATATTATGATCGACTTTTATAACTGCTTATCTTGCTACCACAAGAGGATAACATACAAGAGGGTACCTTTGCGGTTCGCTGCGTGAAAATATACTTCAAGAATATGTTGTTTAACTGCACCAGAAATTTCAAGACTGGTCTTGCTTGTCCCAATTGTATTAATTCCACTTCAGTTATGCTGACCCTTTGATAAAGTATCATAACCCGGAACATAGCACACATTTCATTTCATATGTAATGTATATGCTTTACCTATTCCAACTGCAAATATTCTAATTCTAACATTTTTTTGAGATACTGATGATGGATTGCGTCGTTTTCAGATGAAAGAATCTGGGGAAATTATTCGAAAGATTTGCTTCATGTAAGCGAATAATAACGAAATTGTTTCTGTGCTAACACAGTAGCTTGAGAATCCTTAGGCGGGGATCAGGGACGCCATAAGTAAACGCCCGTCGGGCCTGATTTAATGGCATATTACCTTCAATAACTTGACATTCGCGTAATAGGCCCGACTTTAATCGAAAAATGTTACTATAAAGAAGTCTTTATTTTACGAATGATTATATTTTAAATAAAAGAAAATAATAACAAGTATAAACGATGAAAGATTAATATATTTCAAATAAATATTTATGATGTATATAGAAGGAGTATATAGTTTTTAATTAGGGAAACAACGAATTAAGTTTTATTTTTGAAGTACTAAGTTTTTTTAACGACTGTTTAAGCTGATTAGACTTCAAAAGCTCTTTGATAATTGGAGAATTTTACTTTAATTTTGAGTAACCGACTAGTCCACAAGTACAGTATGTCACCATGCTATGGGAAAGTTGAACACATCGATAACAGATAAATAAGTAATTCAATACTTCCGATTTTTTTTTGGAAGTCAACTTGAATTGTAGGCTACAATCAGATAGTGTATAAATTAACACAGCTTCATGCTCAGAAGCATGTTAAAATATTCTAGGAGAGTTCTTCAAACCAGTAGTGAGGAATAGATATATGAAAGATGAAGTTTCGCTAATTGAAAAGGGGTTAATAGAAATTATCATAGCGAATGTTTAGAGCTAAGACGAACTTCACCTATGTGCTGTTCGCTCATGCTATGATTATTGTTATTTTTGCAAGCATCAATATTGCATTTCAAATGTAACAGACGCTCGGCACTGAGTTGTCGACTGAGTGCATGGTGCATTTTCTCTCGAGCTAATACTCCACCCGATCGACGCTTGCTATCTGTAAGAAGATATTAAAAAATGTTACCTAAATATGTGGATGACGAGCGTTAAGAAGATATATAATTCTTATGTTTATACTATACTCAATCTTACTCAGCTTTAGGATCAAGGCACGCCCAAAATAATGCTGATTTTCTTCATTGAAAATGTTTCATCGGTGTTTTTGGCATTGGTTTTTTTACTTTCAGTTACCTCTAATAATACATATATGACATACGAGAGATTTTATAACACTTACAAAGGTAATAGTTCTTCTTGTTCTTTCTCGCGTCGCTCAATTTCCTGTTTAGGAGATTTTCGCTTCCTTCTTCCGGTAATGACTCTATCGTCAAACTTTTCAGGCCAACCAACGATCTTCCACGCCGTCGAAGATCATCGTTATCTACAGAGTAACTCCTGGGTGACATTTCTCGATTTATTGCTTGCTTCCGCGGTACTACGATTGTTTCTGATATGAAACGTTTACACGAAGCTATAAGTAGGTTGAAAAAAGACCACAAAAATACTTTTTACACTCCAGAATAAAAGATGCAGAACCTAATATGTAGCAATGGTTTACTGGTTGTAGCGCTTCGCGCACTCCCCGCATTGACTTTAGAAACGGATTTAAAAATTAGAGTTCAAAAGAAAAATATATTTGTATTTCTTGGACATATTTTTAAATTCAATACAAATCGTTTTTCATTCCTTACCAAGACTTGAAGATCGCCTTCTGTTCCATTGTCGACATAACTCGTTCATGATACGAAAGCTTTCCGTAATCGCTCCTGCAAATTTTTCTGATGATGTACTGGGACAGCTGCGGAAAGAGGAGATGCAAAACACAATTCTATCGGGATGAGGATTGTATGAAACTCCGTAGCCATCTTCAACTACCGCACCGTAACACATGAAAGAATCCGTGTTAGTAGGGACCTGTTGTTCAATACGAAACATTAAAAATGGAAGAAAAAGCGGAATAAAAGAATGAAAAGATAAAACAAGATAGAAATGGAATCTCACTTGACTAGTTGACAGAGTAAAATAATTACAAATATCGTACGAAGGATCTGAGAACAATTCAGGAATTGGTAGCTTCAGTTCTTTGGATGCCTGAACAATTTTTTAAAAGTAAAATATATATATTATACTACAATAAATACTACTGTTTAAAAATTAGGCAATGTTGTTGTCAATATATATATATATATCTCTTCCAGCTGTTGACCCAATTTATTTGACATGGTATTTTTAAAGTTATTTTTTTTTGTCAACCACTAAGCCCTAAAGCTTCTCTTATGGATTTTTAAAAGCGTGTGCTAGAGTCCTATTCAGCAATATATCTTTAAAACACACTCCAAAAAAAAAAATTTTTTGCAAAAATATCTCAGAAATTTCTAAAAAAAAATTGGACCTTGAGAAATTCTGTGTACAGTAGAGGGTTAAAAATTAATTCCTAATTAATTAATTTTTTTTTCAACGTTTTCGTCAAGTTTTTCCTAACACAACATCACCGAAATGCCTATTATAGCATAAATGCTTATTACTCTGAAATTCACAATTGTATTTACAGGTGTATCAAGTTCAAGGCTAAAATTACTGATTTTGATGACGTCACAGCTCTTATTATTACTGCACAGACCACCCCCAACGCAAAGAAATTAAATTTTTTCGACGGAAATGCGCGTAGAACGGCGTAAACAATCCCATACGCGCATTTACGCGTTAAAATTACCATTAATTTTACGTTTTTTTTAACTACAAAAAATCTCCATACTTCTGCCAACTATGGAGCAGTCGAAATCATATTTATCAAAACAACACAGCGCCAGGGATGGTATATATGACTGAAAATACATGCTAAACCAACAACGAGAATATCGGTTGGAAACCGAAGACTTATCGATCGATAGTTGGGGGATCCCCCAAAACAGAAACTGCCGTTTCGATTTATCCGCTCTTGTAACTTGCGCACTGCGCATCGCACACACACACTCGGCGGGTTTCAAAATTCTCTCGCTTTACAAAAATCTAGATCACTATATCAATAATTGATTGATAACTCGCTAATTATACGACATAATTCGCCCAAAATCAATAGGCTTCTGGTCCGAGATAAGATGAATGCACATGCAAAATCTGGAGCAGATTCAATCTCGCTTTCGTGAGATATCGCGTGCATCTAACAGACACACACACGGACAGACATACATACAGACAAATACCTATCAATATACTTACCGATCTTAAGATCGATAAGTAATAAGTCATTATAAAGGAGTATTTCCTGTCTGAGCTGAGTCGACATTTTCAGACGTCTGACAGGCGATTTTGAAATCCACGCTATTTATAGAATTCGCACTTTGCGTCACGGCTGGAAGGTTCTATCGCTTCTCTCATATCAGGCGATAACGTCAACAAAGAGCTAAGAGCGATATTAACAGTAGTTTATCGAGCACAAAATTAAGCGTAAATATTCTCTCATATGAGCTTAGCCGCTGTAAGAGGGATCCATTTTCTGAAACGGTGAATTTATGAAAAAAAGACACGTTGGTTTCAGATATAATAATATTTTAAAGTTAATTGCCTTTTGTCATAGGTAGTTAGACTACTTGAAACACACTCCCTGTAGCTATTATAAAACAAGTTTATGAGAAACAATGACATGTTGAAAATACTTATATTTTACTTAGCTGTTTTATGGATATAACGAAAAAATTTGACAATACAAACCTCTTTCAATCCAACAAGATGACAATCGATTGCAAGACCCGTGATTGCGGCTATTGTGTAGTCTGTTTGAGCTTTTATCGCTTTACGAAGTAACATCATGTTTCGTGCGTTCTGTTGTGAGAAAAAAATATATTGATAATCAAAAATTGCGGTGGAAGATCTTAATTCTATGCATATATCAGTCTGAAATTACACAGAACAAAATTACGTCCCATTTTACATCACTCTCATAATCGCGTATGCTAATAAACTTTTATTCAAAATAAAACTTCTTACCAATGCTATTTTTCCATTTTCATCTGGAATCGTCACACTCTTTGCAAAGTCCAATGCTTGGACGGTTGCTGCACGTATATTATCAACACGTCCTTCTCTAAATCTTCTAGTAGACGCACTTTCATACGTTGAGACCAAATGGCCATATAATCTAATGATATAACAGTTTTATATACTTGCACGAAAAAAATGTATTTGAATCAGTGTGAATAAATATGTAAAGCGTCACAGACGAATTTTATACCTTGGCCACATTCTTAATAATTGTCAGCAACGCTTTCCAAATAAAAGCTTGATATCAATGAAAAAGTTGACCAAAACCTTACCCTATTTTATTAAACTTTTAAACCAAACGTGTCAAAAGCAAATAAATATTACTTATAGAATGAAAGTTGAAGAGCAACTTGTATATAAGCATCAGGGCTGATGTTTTGTCTTTTTATAAATTCCTTCCCATAATCAGAGAATCTGAGTATTTTCAGATCCAAATTATTTGCCACCTTCACCAAACCTGTCCTGGCCAAATCCATGTATCTGAAATATAAAATATGCAACAAATGTGTCTATATTACATTGAATTCTGGAATTGTGGGTACTCCCGAAGTATGTAAACCAAGATGGCGGACACGGGAACGTAGTATGTGTACCAGGTTAGGATTAGGCCATAACTTTATTATTTCAATTTTTCTTATTTATTTATATTACGGGGACTAGCCAAGTGACTCCCGTAGTGTTTGTACCTAAAATTATGGCCTACTTCGTATACTTCGTGAGTAGCATATTGTGTGCAAAATATATCACCTTTTAACCTTTGCACTTTCAACTTCCCATCTGAGACATTCGGGAGGTAACAGAACTGGCGACATTTCAAAGTTTACTTCCTCTGGGTTAGACTCTTCACTACAAAGTAACAAATTTTGAAAGTTTATGTTGTCCTCCAACTGCTTGGAAACTTTACCAACGCGACTTCACGATATTATTGTTGGCCTGACAGACTAACGATGCTATCATCATGACTTAGATTAGAGGGTTGAGTTTAATCAAAAGATTGCCGATGATCAAGTCATGCAAATTATAAAGTCAGATATCAATCAATCCAAAACTATAGTATAATATCTATCTGCCTCTCAGTGGATATATGAGCAGAGCCTTGGTTAAAGCGAGGGGATTTGAAAATTGTATAAAAAGATGCTTGTATATATGGTTTCATAATTATTCTCAGTCTGTCGAAAATATCTTAATTGCAAAATCATAATATCTTAATGCAAAATATTACATGCATATTTATAGGTAGCGTGCACTATATTCCACAGAAAACAGTTCGTATCCAATTTGTGGATGCAATAAGTTGATCTGAACTCTGAAATACAATGCTATGTTTATTTAATCACTTGCACTACTCAATATATACCTACATGTGTTTCAAAAGATGCTCAACCAGGCTAATAACAGCAATCCCTTCTGATACGGAATGTTCATAAACCAGCCCCGTTACTCCGTCCGATCCGATGATGAATTGTATTGTTTTATCAAACCATCTGTTTAAAGTAAAAATAATAATAATTAAATTGCAACTTTTTATTTGTATTTGCTAGTTTGCGGTAGGATCAATTCATTTGGCTTTTTCTGGATATTATAATGCACTGTATGTAACTGTAATCTCCTAGATATTTTTTTTTATATATTTGTTGCATGTGTTTCTACTTAATAATGAATTTTCTTGCAGTTTTTGACAAATTTTTGAGTTTGCTTTACACAATATATTTCCCCGACTGTAGGCTATTATTTTGAATTGAATCTCACATCAATCAGTGTTTAAGTAGTAAAGTATAACACCTCTCTAGGTAAGAATAAAATCTCTTCTTACCTATTGCACGAATTCCCCATTCCATGTAACATTTGGTGCCCGAGATTGACGTCATTTGTCTCTACTTTCAAAGGTTTATCCAAACACACAACCGCAATACTTTTCTCTATCGATTCAATCGATTTACGATTGACGGGGTCTGAATAAATTAGTACCATTGAATTTAATAAATTGTAAGTTCCATTATTTCATTCGTTTATATTTGGAATTTTCTTAGATAGACTCATTTTGAATTGAGGTTTGTCTTTCATGTTAGGCCGTAATTTGTTTTGTCTGGGTTATGCTTTCTCTCTCTCAATTTCTATACGAGTCATACGCGAATATTTTGCTTTATAATTCATAATTGTCATTGCATTATGGTTATGATTAAAAAGATTTACCCTTTATGATATACTTTGCACCTCCGCTACGAACAAAGTTCTTAATGAATTTCTTTGTCGTGGCCGCTCATTTGAAGTGACGTATACTATAATAACATCAACATTCATAAAATAAAATAAATAGGGTTTGAAGTATTCCCGCAGTATGAAATGAATACAATTCTGTACTTTGCATAAGAATATCACGAGCCTCCGCCCACTCTGATCTTCCCATTGAGGTTAGAACTCCAACAGAGAAATTGGGATTTGTTCTGTCATCAATCTTGTCATCTACAATTTTTTCAAGTAGGTCAACGATATCTGGTTCCGATATACGCTCGCCTTTTGGCGAAATGGCGTTGAGTACATGAAACTGAAACAGATAAACAGTTTTTAATCGGTCCATAGAAGTCATGTTCATTTATTTTTGTTTGCTGGATCGAACCGCGCACCACTCTTAAAGTGATACTATCGTACTGAGTAAAACAGAAATCATACTTGAATGTTCAAATTGCGTTTTGAAGTACTTAAAATTGAGTACCAAGATTCTAGAAAGTATTTTGTGTTATTTTGCCTATAGCCTTGGCTTGTTCTATTTCGGACCAGAACCGGGCAATATTCTATTTTGTGCTCTGAAGTTGAAAACACCAATGCATTATTGACCATTATTTACCATAAATGACTTGGATTTATATTGTGTACAACGTATTTGGTTACTTAATTTAGACAAACATATCTTCTGCATTGCTATCCAACCTTGTTGTTATGTGCGATTACAAAATGTCCTGCATGATTTTCTTCTGTTGACGAAACCTGTACGAGTCTGTCACTTGGTTTCCCTGGTAAACGACTGGAACATAATAGTCTGTAATATTGTTTCATACAAAGTGGTTGTCCGGCTAATTGTCCGTGTGCGATGTCAACCGGTAACGCTTCCCTTTAAATATGAATAGTGCTTTTTATGATTATATACGACGTTGAGAAACTACTTTTAAACCATTTTAATTCTTCATGCCAACTAGACAAAGCCTCCTCTTGTGCTCAATATTAGATGTAATGTTGTGTGACTAACAAGACATACACTGACACATCCAACACCCGGGAGCGTCAATTTCCTCATAGTGGTCTGGCACGTATAAGGTGATTATCCAGATGGATGTAAAATGACCAGAAATCGATACAGGTACTTACGAGTCTAATATTTTCTTGTAGTCCATAATTCCTGCAATCAACTTCCCAGCAAACCTTTTCACGAGTTCATAAATAGAAATGAAAACATTAAAAGGGAGTAACTATTCTTATCGTGTGAGACGATTTATTACTTATCGATCTTAAGATCGGTAAGTATGTTGATAGGTATTTGTCTGTTTGTTTGTTTGTCTGTTAGATACACGCGATATCTCACGAAATCGAAGTTGAATCTGCTCCAAATTTTGCATGTGCATTCATCATAGTTCGGAATAGCAGCCTATTGATTGAGCCTATTTCGATGAATTATGTCGTAAAATTAGCGAGGTATTAGTTAATTAGTGATGGGACACACGGTGTCACTATAGACTAGAGTAAGAGCGCTGTTTTGGGGGATCCCCTAACCTTCGATCGATAAGTCTTCGGTTTCCAACCGAATTCTAGTCTCATTGTTCAAATGTATTTCTAAATCTTTTGGAAATTATTATGCCTATATTGTGTTATCAAATCACGATTTCGTGAATAAGAAAACTTCCACGAAATTAAAACATGTTACTTAATTTGGTTAATAAAAGTTCAAGTTAAAATTGAGCATTTTCTCGCTCACAAGTAATTCAGATTTTTCATGAGAAATATGTCATATTGCACATGCACATGTGTCCAAAGTTCGAATCATGAAATATAATCTGAATATTCCAGTCTAATCTGAATCTAGTCTATCCGATACTTAGAGTCCTGTAACCGGTGTGGATTTGGAAATTGCATGCCTGTTTTTGATTTTACACAAATAGACGTAATCTCACCTCAGCCGTTCACTTTCCGTTTTAAAGTTTTGCTTTGGTAACAGCATTCCAGGGTTAGAGTTTACCGGTAGAGGCGCGCGATTGTTGAGATACATGTCGTCGAGCCACCAATCATACGACTGTAAAATGGGTTGGAAGATAATCAAGATTCGTTGGAATTATTGAATAAGAAGATTCAATATTCTATTGCAACATTTTTTTTATTTCGTACCTAATCTCACTGGAGTAATCGCTCAATGTTTTATATCCCAGTTTACGTTTTTTGTTCCAAGTATCGCATTGTTAGATATATTATTTCTTCTTTGCGAGAAAGAGTATAATAAATATGTGTTAGGACATTGTAATTTACCCAATTGACAACATTCTTCGCTCTTTTTAATAAATGATTTTGCAGTGTTTCACCGATGCCACCATCAGCTCCAAATTCTTCTACAATCTGTTTTGTTTTTTCAAACTGTATTTCAGGGACTAGCGGCTTAACACAGAGTAAATATCTTTCCAATGTTTCCGTCAGGTCTGGAACGGGTAGACGGGGTAATTGAGTCTGACAAATAAAGAAAAATTATAGCTAAAAAAAAATTGAAAAATTGTAGAGACAATTTAGCTGCAGTTAATCTTTTTTTTAGATGGCATTGCTATATAGCACGTAGCGTATTGTTCCTTTTCTTATGCTTAAAAGTATATAAAAAGTAAGTGGATCTGTGTGTTTTTGTGTTCTATTATGTGCTTTCATGTTGAATATTTGCTTTGTTGTTTGTATGACAACTTCTTTACAGCAAACATGTGAAGTATGTCATAACAATCATTTTTTTCCCCGAGTAACTGTGCCTACCCCATTGATTTTTATAAAATATTATATTGCGTGGTTCCGTTAGCAAAGTATAAAATAAAATATTAAACTACAAGATTTAAACCAAATGTTTTTTCATTTTTATTTCTGAGTAATATCACTATTCACCATAATCTCTCATCATACCTGATACGACATTGATAACCTCCTACTACTGATGCTCCTTGCAAAATTTGGTATCGCTTTATTTGCATCGTTCAATATAGGCATTCCGATTGTTGGCTTCGACTGCTCAAAAAGAAATATTATTCATGAGGAAAATGGATGAACTTTTTGTATTGTCAGAAAATATTCGCATAGTCTATTTAATATTTCATTTATAACCCCGACATTAATTAAACTAGATAATCCAATTATTATCGGACTGAAAAAGACGTCACGTTCTATGATATGGAACATTTCAAAATAGAAATGACGGATGCATTACATTTGACCGAGCATGTAGATGAGATATCATAATTTTGCTCTCATCCAATTTTGTCTGGAATGGGAAGTTTTCGATCTCATCAAAAATTCTGGTAATTAAGTTATGTGGATCAGTTAGAGTCATACAAAACTTCCATGCAAATGAGAGAACAATGATTAATACACGACATTCAACTGAAACACTACCAAATGGCCTTAAAAGCCTTCAAAATTATAGAAAATCATACCACCAAAATGCTTGTGTTATCCTATTAACGATTTATGTTCTTAATTAATAACATTCTTGTATTCATTACCAGAATCGTTTTGCTTAAAAGGATTTTCGATTTGCAAATTGGGATGCCCAATGAAAGTACAGCCCAGTACAAAAACGTTATCTTTAGATACTGTTCAACTTGTAACTAACTGGGATATATTAGAGTTACCTTTGCCGTCTGTCAAAAAAAGACTCAACTAATAATACCCATGTGTTGTAACCTTTTCACTGGTTTTTCCGTATCACTATATTTCAATAAATGGAAACTTTTTGATAAAAATCGAGCTATGACTTATTATTAAAAATTAATCCAGAAACAATCTGTATGTGGTTCAAAAATGCCATCTCGTTAGATTGAATTGCCGGGAATTTAGATGCCCAGTAAAAATCCATTTTCGGCCAGATCAACTGCAAGAAATCGGTTCAAAGTCGGTATTGTGAAATCTTCCCCTTGCTGAGGAAGAACGAAAGTCGATTCTAATTGAATGTTGTTAAGGTCAGGATTGTTCGTTATTGATTTTAAAGACTTTGAAATACACAAGAAGGAAATGGTAAAACATTTCTATTTTTTCGAACAATGAACCTTTATCTAGATTTATGTTGTTATATCCGAAGTTTATATAACAAACTCGTCAAAGTTGGCGATTGAATGTTATGATTCAATTCAATAACGCTTTGCACTTTAAACAACTAAATACTTAACATATACGAGTAGTTCTAGACCAGAGTTCCCCAAACTTATTGGGCCGCGGACCCATATTTGAGAATCTTAGTTTTGACGGACCCCCATACTAAGTCGTAATAATGTCTGTGCCTAACCAACGAGAAAAGATAAGGTTTCATTTACAAAACAACAACATAAACGACATTAACGTGATGGATGAGGTTGCTTTTCACTGCACAATTTATCAATTCTGGCAGGAATTTGTGAAAAGCAAACTCATAGGTCCGACTATACTTCAAGGTCGACCTGTATTTTGTCATAATATTAGTAAGAGCTGAAAAAGCTTCCTCACCCATGTAGGTCGTTAATGAAAATGTAATTGCCTTTTCTGACTGCGATGGATATTAGCCCGCAACGCTCAACCAAAAAGATGTAATGGCTTTTTGATTGAAATCAATCATTAAAGATCGATCGTAGTCTTTTCATGGCGTTGTGGATCCCCTGTGCAGTCATCACGGACCCCAGTTTGGGAAACCCTGTTCTAGACGACCGATACCAAAGGTTTTTCAAATATTATATTATTTGTCATTACCGATCCGATATTAATAAAACAGGTTGATGCCGACAATCCGACACCTGATAAAAGCCTTTAATATATACAGTCTCTTTTATCTACCAAGTTTCTCACGTTAACCGATATCTATGGCCAATTATTGAAAAGTATAACTTGAAACGTTGCGAGTACTTAATTTCGAAAATGATAAACCGAGTAAAACAGAACTCTCACTAAAAATACAGCAAGTCTCTGATTTTATATAATATGGGTTAAACGAGAGATGTCCAAATTCAATTTATCTCGTAAGGATTGAAGCCTAAATCAATAAGAAATTACAATTACCGATTCGCTTTCTAGTTTTTACTATGTTGGGCCCATTTGTGATCCAAGATTTCGCGGACCCTTCAAGTAATACACGATGTACATTTGGGTTACGACGACCTGTCATTTGAAGGAAAGTGCGTAAAATGGATCGAATCTGGTACGTTTTTACCACCGTTCGTCGGAAACTTTTCTCCAATTAATATTTTATGTTGGCATCGTGCGTCGTACGTGATTTATTCTAACGTCGTCTCGATTGGCCCGCGTGGAATTGAATATTGAATTAGTTTTTTGTCTTGTTTGACACGTCTTGATCGCTCTCCCGGTTTTCTGATTGGCGTCTCGCAGTGATCAAATTCGTCATGCTTTAACGTGTTTTAGAAATAATGTAGGTAGGCGACACGGTCGTGAATTGATTCGATAAAATGTCATTTTTGGCGCACTTTAGCTGCTCAACATTTATTTTATTATCGATGTCAAGAAAAATTGGGAATACTTTATAAAAATACTTATACTTACCCATATAAATTGGATATCAATTTTTAATGTAATGGTTTGACCAGTCCTAGTATTGAACTGGAGTCCACCACTTAAGAGTTAAATACTTTCACCACAATGACATCTTATCTGTTAATCTGTTTAAATTTAAATTTTACATCTTATAAATGCGTCGGATTTTATTTGGCACAAAACCTATAGAGGCGCGTCGGGATTTTTTTTCTCTGTGATATCTTCAAAATGTCATCTAAATTTATTCGTTATTTTTTCGAAATTGTATTAAATGGGTGTACCTGAATTATTGCCTGTGAATTGTGAAATTGTAAAGACCTCTTGTATATCTTTCTGATATCGATCTCAACCCCTGCCAAAAACATTTTGACCTAAGTTTTTTTGAAAAGTGCTTTTGTGGCATTTATAGTGGGACAAAGACACGCACATCTTTTGCAACACTGTTTTTCTCCGCTCGTAAACAATTCACTGATAGTACGACGTTTATGGTTTACTATCAATAATTTCCCCAAATGCTCGTTCGTAGCGAGTAAGCGTCGTATTACGTCATATTAATTACAATTACAGACCCAAGACAACCATCACATTGAATATGAACAGTTCACAGAAAAGATATGAATGTCTTCTATGCTATAAATTTTGTGGCTTCACATATTGTGAAAAGGATCGCGACATGTAAGAAAATATTCAAAAGGGGTTGCGAAGCAAAAAAGGTTGGGATCCACCGCTTTACAGTTTAGTGAAGAAGTTTAGTTGGAACAAACAAGAAAAAGGTACCATTCGCGGGTATTTCATATACTGAAATATTACCTCAAATCATACAATCCAAATGTTGGAATATAACGCCATTTATTCTGCTCATTTCAAAATAAAGGATAAGTCTTTTTAAAAATCGGTCAGATATTAGCAACCTACGCGAAAATTACATTCAGTTTGTAGACTTCAATTTGAGTTTGTCGTCCTGATGCTTGCTGGAGGACGTACTGAAGACTAATCACCGTAGCTGTATGTTCCTCTCACTGTGTTGCGATGCCATAAGCTGGTTGTGAGACACTCAAATGATACATTTTGCATAAAAGCAATGAAATCTGACTTAACATCTACGAATATCGTGTACAGATGAACAACATCATGGAAGGACCAAATATTTATTAGAATGAGTTTATTAGGATGCTGTGTTATGTATGTGCGTAAAAGATAATATTTGATAGTAAACGAGAAATTATAAAGTGGATTAAAATGATGTAATATAACGTTAAATATATTATTAATATGTGAGTATAACGTCCAGTGTGAGTAATACATAAGCTCGATGGAATTGCAGTGATATTACTACCATCATTTGAATTCATCACTTAATCAGGTTGACTCGAAATTTTCAGATATATCCTAATCTAACGAACAAACTAACTTCGATATTCTAAAAATACATACATTGCATTTCTATCGGTAGTCACAAGAGATCACAGCTTCCAGAAATATTACCAAAAGTTCTATGACACCAAAAGGTTGGAACAATTTTCTCATACCAATAAATGCTATAAACGTATGCATTTGCAATCTAATCCTAAATTAATAATGAAAATATAACATTTAGCTAACTTTCATTCCCCGTCAAGAGTTTTGATAGCTTCATCATGTTCATTTTGAATATCATTTGACTCTTCAGTCTCTAATCTAGCTTCCCTTGATAGACGACGTGGGCGTGGCCGAGGACGTGGGTTTATGTCAGTTTGAACTATCTTCTGTTCTATTTGTTGAGCGGCCGCCAAGGATTGCCGTGATGTTGCTGTTCTTTTTTGACTGTCTGAAGTTAAACGAAGATCCGATTTTTCACTAGGAAGGGATTTTAAATGTTCTTCAGCATCAATCACACTTCCATTATGATTGTTGCCAACAATTGTGTGCTCAGACTTAAGTTTACCTTCGTCTAAACTACCGGTAGAGGTATGGCCGTTGTTGTTGAAGCGATGATATTCGCCAACCTCTGACAACAACATATCTCTTTCTCCTCTGTTGACGTTCCAATCATATACCTTCCTCAGAGTGAACAAAACAGGCGCAAAGCACACGTTAGCCATTCCGATGAGGACGTTCATTTCTGTGTATCCAATAGACTGGACAGCTTGTCCAGCTAAAATAGGTCCCAGTGCGTACGCCACTGAATATGAAATATCAGCAATAGCGTACACGCTACCGTAAACACTGGTATGCCGTACGTCCACTAGAAACGCTAATGTTGGTAGAAGAGCAGTGTCTATTAGGGCTATTCCGAAGCACATAAAACATAGAGGTACAATTAGGGCGCCGTACGATTTACATACAGGAACTATCATAGCTGATATACCAATTGCAATAAGCCCCACTAGTCCGTAAAACCACTGTAGACGAAAGTACTTCACAGATAATTTTACTGTCAAATATACCCCGAGAACATGCGGCAAAAATGGCGGTAACCAAATAAGTCCGATTTGCCATGGAACAGCGTTCATGTT